TCTTAGCTGAGACAGATATGGACGATAAGTCGTGAATATATATAAGAAATAGAAGGGGGCCTAGGATAGTGCCTTGAAGTACTCCGCTGGTAATAGGGGATGGTTCTGAAACGAGTTATACTGGATAATTAAAATTCTACTGAATGTTTTCAATGCGTTTGTCATTCAATAGATTGGCATTCAAGAGATGTGCACGAGGTTTGCCTTCAGTTACCGTCCTTCGTCATTGACAGTAAATAACCGCACGGGAACATCCCCTCCCCTGTAGCTGGCCGTATTCATTGTCTGTTTCTCAGTGTCAATTGTGTCGCCCCGTCCTTTTTGTCTGTCTCTGACCTTACGCTTACTGACCGGCACTCATGGAATGGGTTTTTCAGGCTTGTTGTTATGAATTTACGATGGTCAGCGATATTGTTTCTAGATGAGCTCCAGTTTATGCGTATGGGGTGATGTAGACGAACGTCGAATAAGAAAAAACAGGCCAAGCAATTAATGTTTGGCATACTAGGGAGCAAGTTAATAAGTATAAGGGAACATTGTCTCTATACTTAAATCTAGCAGCAGGTCTATCCCGCGACTCTTAACATATACCTATGTGAGAACCATAAACGCCACACTAGTTGGCGGGCCAGAATGTATGCATGAATGTATGTATGGCGCGCGTTTCGAATTTGGTTTCAAATGTTCGCTCTCCGAGGAATTTAGTTACTTCGAGATTTGGACTTACTGTACGCTCTTAGAGCTTGCCGGAATTTAGACTTGAATTCGACTCATCAATATCTTCCTCCCAACTAGTCTCCTGCAGCACATTCCCAGAACTCCGATTTCGGCCTTCCTCGTTTCTCATACTTGCAAGCCCAGAAAGTCGGATTATCTGAAGAACAATTCATCCAAAGTTTATACAAAGGCTGAGTCGCTTTTCTACTATTAGACATTGTTTCATCATCGCCTCAAAGTATTTGTCTAAATTTTTGCTCTCGGAAGCTTCTCGGCCATACCTTCCCATTCAGCTAATGAAGTTACTATCTACCGAAAGATCGTCATAAAGGCCTTTCCTTCATACTTAAGTCTACGCTCTTTGTGTATATAGAAAAGTTATCCAGAATGTTGGAGTCTGTACTAGTGTTCCAAAGTAACGCGCACTTGGGATTTGAACCGGGGACCTCAAAACTTAGAGCTCGCTCCGCTAACCCCTACACCACCGACGCACGGCTGAAGAGCTCAGTTAAAAGCTTTGTTAATTCGTCACCGCAGGATCTGGTAGGATATTCATGAAATGGTTGTCAAACGATAGCCTACAAGATGCATCAGCTAGAGGAAGAAGTAAGAAATCTGAAGGAACTTATACACAAGACTGTTCCTTCAGAGGACCGCCCGGTGTTATCTACGCAGTGGCTAACTCGGAGTAGAGCGAGAGCCATCCAGCGTAAGGAATCCCCAGAAAACAATTATGGGGTGAATAAGACAACTACTATTAGTAGTCAAGTCGTGGCTTCCGATGAAAAAAAGAATAAGAGGAAGAAGACGACCTTTAACACCACAGGGAAAAGTCGCCAGAATACGAAAGAGAGTATATTAGCCTTACCAGAAAAGCGGTTGAAAAATGAAACGAATGTAAATGTGCCAACGGAAGAAGTGGAAGTAATGGGGCAGATGACGCCCAACCTTAATAATTCCCAGACAGTGTTCTCATTTCCTGAGCCTAACTTAGAGGGATTACCAGTTAACGCAAAGACATATGGCTATGGACCCAAGGTGGAATTAGCTGCCACCGCGAATTCCCATGTCAACAGAGTCAAGAACCGAGCTGAGGAAGCCTCTAATTCATGGGGGTCAAGCTCTCCACAGAGCCATCTGATGGGAGGTATTGTTGATAGATCCCAGTGTGCAACTATTCACGATGCCTTAACAGGATCCGCGGACGAACTTCACGGGGACATAAATACCAACATGGCAGCCCCTTCCTCTTCTCCAGTCCACTTCGACGAGGCAATAGGGCCAGCCAACGACGTCCAAATCGCAGAAAACAGAGGAATGCTTAACAAGGGCCACTGTGTCATAATTCAGGGCCTCGCAGAGTCCTCCGCCAGTTCCCCCAGGGAACGAATCGCTGCTGACTTAGAGCAATTCCAGAAACTCCTCAATAAAATGCTGCAACCAACAGAAGATGTCACAGTCCTAAAGGCGTTTCGTCTTGGTAGCCGTACAAATGCCGCTCCGAAGACGCGACCAAGACCCCTGAAAATCGTCCTTGGTAGCAATAAGCAGGCGAAACTAATACTTTCCAGGCGTTTTCGATTGAAGCATTCCCATAAAGGAGTGTTTTTTCAGCCGGACTACTCACCTGCCGAGAGAATGGAACGCCGCGAACTTGTCCTAGAATTGAGAACACGACAAACCAACGGAGAGAAAAACTTGACAATCTACAAAGACCGGATTGTCAAACGACATTCCGCTCCCCTCTGGATCAAGCCGATCCGAATGACTGCACAGCTACCCCAGTTGCCCGTGTCGGGTTTGAAAACAAATCTCGCATGAACTCGAAACTCATATTCATATATGCCAACGCGCAAAGTGTACTTTCTAAACTGGACGAACTCCGTATCCATACCTACGACCTCCATCCGACGGTTCGTCCGTCGATTTCGACGATGACCACCGTGTGCCCCACAGACTGCATTGTGGGAGCAGGGACGGTGACTTACGCAGGGGTTTATAGTGCCAGTAGACTTGCGTAGCATCTACCTACACTCTCTCCTCCTCCCCCGCCTGGGTCCGGTGTCAAGACAGAGTCAAGAAGACCGGAGACGGGGGAGGCCGCAGGTGGATGGCTCGGACGGGTCTTCGCCTTGGCGCTCCGCTCCGCACCCCTGGTCCACACACCAAGACCAGGATTTTGACCACAAAACAATGGGGTGGAGGCAGTGGTCCAGTTGTGCGACGAATGCCGACAACAGGGTCCGCCAGCGCACCCCGCAAATGTTGGCATTTGTTATTACGCAAAGATAACGCCTGCCAGAGTCCGATGTGGCCCCCGTGTTGGTCCAGCGCATCTAACACGTGGCCCGTTGTGAGGGCACAACGACCTCCATCCAGATGTTATCTCAATAACAGAAACATGGTTGTCCGAACAGATTGATGATAGAGAACTCATGCTCCCTGGATTTCAGCTGTTCCGCCGAGACAGAGAAAACAGAAGGGGTGGAGGCATAGTAACATTTGTTAAGAACGGCTTGCACGTTTCAGAAAAAACTGCCCAACTGACTTGTAGTACCGAAGCATTATGGCTGACCATAAGGGCACCGGGCTCTCAAAGTCTCGATATCTTGACAGTATATCGCCCCCCGGAGAAATGATCCTGACGCTGATCCCCAACTGCTGGAGGAGCTCAGATTATTTCCAACGCGGCCGACTACTCTCATCGTTGGAGATTTTAATGCACCTCATATCGACTGGAGCTCGGCCTCAGCCGACTGCTCTGAAGCAGCATTTGACCAGCAGCTACTGCGTACCTCCGACAACCTGCTTCTCACACAACACGTAATGTTTCCAACAAGAGTTCGAGAGGGCCAACAGATGAACTGCCTCGATCTTGTGTTCACCAAGTCGTCTGACAACACATTATTCTCCCCTCCTGCACAACCGCTCGATTCCCGACCTAATATTTGGCGCGGCGATTTCGAACAGATGAAAAAGGATCTTAGTCCTATCGACTAGGCATCCACTGTCTCCGGCGATGTCGAAGAGGCTTGGTGTCAGTTCAACGAGTTAGTCCACAACCTCATCTCCAACCACTGCCCAATCATGCGCAGAAGACTAACAAATAGACCTCGCTGGTTGACTCCGTCCTTAAAGAAGGAAGGTAACAAGAAGAGGAAGCAATGGAAAAGATCGCTGACGGATCCCACGCCAGAATCCCTAAGCATTTATAAGTTACAGAGAAATCGGGTCAAAATTCTCATCGCCAGAGATAGGAAAGCTTTTGAAAAGAATCTTTTGAACCGTGCCATGATTAATCCAAAAATCCTTTACAGCTTCATAAGACAGAGCACACGGAACAAAGATCCTGTCCCACTGCTGCGAACGGCTGAGGGTGTGGAAATCTCCGATGACAAGGATAAGGCTGAACATCTCTCTCAGTTCTTCCGGTCAGTCGTGACAATTGAACCTGCTTTTTCCTCACCCGCTTATGAAGACGATGAAACGCCTACCCTCGAAGCCGTCTTCTTCACCGAAACAGTTGTTCGGAATAAGTTACTAAACCTAAAAGAATCGACCTCCCCAGGCCCTGATACAATCCCGGCCAAGCTGCTGAGGGAAATAGCTCCCGAAATGTCCAAACCGTTAGCCTTGGTCTTTCAAACGTCATTTGTTACTGGATGCCTGCCCTCTGACTGGAAGTCCGCTACCATCACTCCGCTTTTTAAGGGTGGAAGTCGTGCGTCTGCGAATAAATACAGGCCAGTGAGTCTTACCTCCATCTGTTGCAAAATCATGGAGAAAATCATTAAGAAGGCCTTGGTGCAGTTCCTCGAGCAGCACCATCTCCTTTCTGATGCCCAACACGGCTTTCGAAGTGGTAGGTCCTGCCTCACGAATCTGCTCTTTACGCTCGAACGATGGACTAAAGCACGTGATGAAGGCAAGGTGGTGCACGCCATCTACATCGACTTCAAAAAGGCTTTCGACAGCGTTCCTCATCAACGTCTCTTGTACAAACTGCGCAACGCTGGAATTCGTGGACGCCTTCTTGTATGGATCCAGAGCTTTTTGGCTGGACGGTCCCAGAGAGTGCGGGTCGGGCGTCAACAGTCCTCAGAGGTAAGCGTGGTGAGTGGCGTCCCACAGGGCTCAGCCTTAGGTCCCACGTTATTTCTCGTTTTCATAAATGACTGCGTCAAGTACCTAGACTGTGATGCTATCCTGTTTGCCGACGACATAAAATTGTGGAAAATTATTCACGATGCGGCAGACGCAGACCACCTGCAAGCAAACTTGAACAGGCTCGAAGACTGGTCGAAGCGCTGGCTTATGCCCTTCAATATAAGCAAGTGTAACTTTCTTCAACTCGGCGGCTTCAGAGCCCCCAGCCCAGGACCTACTTTCTACACGGCACACCACTGCAACAGATTGACAGTCAGAAGGACCTGGGTGTATGGATTACATCTTCACTCAAACCAACACTGCACTGCGCGAAGGCGGCTTAATCGGCTACGGCCACATTGCAACTCATTAGGCGAGCATTTATGGGATTTGACCCTGACTGCTTTTCCAAAATATTTGGCACCTTCGGGCGACCTCATCTAGAATACGCCATACAGGCGTGGAGACCCTGGACTGCCAAGGATTATACCGTCTTGGAGAAGGTCCAGAGACGGGCGACCAAAATGACACAAGGTCTAGGAGCACTGCCCTATGAAACCAGACTGTCAATCCTCAACCTGTTTCCCCTTTCCTACAGGCAATTACGTGGTGACCTTATACTAACATTTCGCATCATCAACGGCCTAGACTGTTGGTTAGATCCCACTGATTATTTCACCCAAGCTAACACGCCCACTTTGCGCGGTCATCCCCTAAAACTACGCGCGGGGAAATCAAGAATCAATGGACGGAAGTTCTTTTTCAGTAACAGAGTGGTTGCAGCGTGGAATGCCCTGCCTACTGATGTTGTAGCCTCCCCCTGTGTGTATTCCTTCAAGTGTAGACTTGACATTCATCAAGCTTCCCAATTACCACCCCCACATCCACTCACATAACCCGGTACCATCTTATACTTGTTTATACTACTTGTGATTAGTAAGTAACCACTAATGATTACTCTTTTTCGACTAGCTGCCAGCTGTCCGCGAGTATGTACAAAATCCCTTTTTCACCTTCCCATTTATCAATGTTTTTCTCCGACGACTGGTAACCAAGAGGGAGTTCAAAGGCACTTGCCTATATTTCCCTTAATAAACTGACACTGATACTAAATTGCTGAGAAAAATTTCGTTATCTGAGTGCTTGTAGGACGGTTTGACCGTCGAACCGTTTTGTATATCTTATCTGAGTGCTCTGTGTGATTACCTTTTTGCCTCGACCTAAACTTTCTTGGCGTTGGAAATCGCCGTTCTCGCCTATGGTAGATTGGGGTTACTAGCGCTGTTATGCGGAAATTCCGGAGCACTTGGTTGATTTCGGGACATATGAGCGAGGTAACCGAGGTGTCCTTTAAGTCAGTTAAAAGTCAGTTACTTAAGTGAATGAGACTTCTGCCACAGAGATCCCTATTTACATCGATAAACAAAGATGGAGTAAATTGCTATACAAGTAGATATGGAAATTTAAAAGTTAACGGTATGTGTGAGCCAGGCGCAAACTGCCACCACTAAAACATTCGTGATTATATTTACAGTACTTTCTCAGCAAATGAGCGTCTAGTCTGCATTTAAAGGATTCAACTGCTTCGGAAAGAACCACGGAGTCAGGAAGTCCGTTCCATGCTCCAATGATCGTCTGTGAGGAGGCATTCCGTCGGACGTTTGTATGGGTTAGCTTTTTCTGCAGTTCAAAGGGATAACCGCTTGGATGGCCCCTCCCGGTCAATTTGAGGAAGTCCTCAAATTCTAAAGCACACTGACGGTCTGCGAAAATCAGGAAAGTTTGTATGAGATCAAAGCGCAGTTGCCTATAATCAAGAGAAAATAGATTTAGTCCAGCCAGTCTGCTTTTTAAGACAGATGATCAAGATTTTTGAGCATTGTTGTAGCCTCCGCCTCTACTCATTCGTTGTTTATAATTCTTGAACTTCAGTCGACAGGCCTGGACTGCATACTCTAAGTGAGACAGAATGAAAGCCCGTAGGTTTTTCTAAACAGTTCACTATCGGTCTGCACATATCCTCTTCTCAGCGCAAATTGTGTCCGTATCGTGCATCCGACTGCCCTTTGACATTGTGAAAATGGTTTACGAGAGGAGGTCATTGGAACGCCAAGGTCCTTCTGTTCCTCAACATTTGAAAGGGATGTCCATCAAGGAAGTATAAATAGGAATCGTCCTCCTTACTGATTCTTCTGGTACGGAGTCTCAGGACCACATTTCTGCCCACATTTAAAATGAGGAGCCAAGGATGTGAGCAATTGCTCAGCTGGCTGAGACTCTCTTAAAGCGCGTACTTGTCTGCGTCAGATCTGATGGTTCTCCATTGCTTAACACCGTCGACAATCATGATGGGTTTGAATCTCAGGTCGTCGACCAGTTGTCAGTGTAAACTAAGAGTAGTACAGGCTGAGCCTTGGGGAAAGCCTCCTGGAACGGTTGTAGGAGTTGATTTCGAGGCATCACCACTCACGGTTTGTGATCTTCCTGAGAAAAAATCTGCGATCCCTGTTAGCAACTCTCCTCTTATTCCAATTTCAGACAGTTTGTAGATTAGGCGTTTGAGTGGAGCACTGACGAACGCCCTGCCGAAGCCCGTGTAGATGACATCGACCTAACCATCCACGTCAAGTGCGCGAGTCCAATGCCCAGTCGAGAGCAATAAACCCGAAAGGCACGGGTGGTTTCGTCTGAAGTCATGCTACAATCCTGATAATGGGTGGTTCTGCTCCAGAAACTTCATCGTTTCTTTCTTTACCATGGCTTCCATTATTTTACAGCAGATTCAGTTGAGACTGGCGGGCAGGCAATTGTTAGCACCAGTGCGCATCCCCACCATCGTATATCGGAAAGGACTTTTCTGCCTTCCATTCGGATGGCAGCCTCCTTAATTCGAATGACGAACGGAAGATGTGTGCATGGTGGTTTGTAGAGCTCGTTTGCCAATGCTTTCAAAAGTTTGGCCGGTAGATTGCCCAAACCCGACGACTTTGCTTCTTTGAGATTTAAAAGATTTCTTTCCACGACAGATGCCGTGAAGAGTATATATTCAAGCAAGGGACCAACAGTCTCAACAGAATTTCTGACACTATGACTCTGAAACTCCGTTTCCCTGGTGAAAAACCGAGCAAAGTACCATACAGTGTGTTCGGCTCTCTCGTCGTTTTTAACGCTTTCTACACTATCTTCTCCCTTTAGTACTGCGATCGGGTCCTTTGTCCAATCTATTGTTAATATTAGTGAAATAGTGATATGATAGGGTCCCCACGGGTCTTGACTAAAAATTATTACTATTATAATTATTAGTATTAATATAGTGAAATCAAATCTTGGGCTTCTCTTCAGCCTGTCGGATAATTCCGGATTCACAGTTCTTTCCTGCCTGACGGATGCGTTTTCTGACCGCATTTCGTTGATGACGAAATTCCTCGAGGTGCACTGGTGGCCCAGTTTCTCTGAATATCTTCCAAATTTTTCTTTTCGTCCCTAATAGTCTATTCAGTTTATTTCAGTTTATTTGGTAAGGATAATAGGCAAAGCCTTTGAAAACCCTATTGATTACATGTCAGCTCGTTAGAAATAACTGTACATAAACTAAATAACGAACACGCCCATAATGGTGGGACAAAATGAGAAGGACTTACAGGGGGTGAGCGCGACTTCCCATAGCTCTTGGTCATTTCGGAACATAAATATGTCCAGATTCTTCTTAAAACTTTGTTTAGATGGGGACATCACAACATCTGCGTGCAGCTCATTCCATGGTTTGACCACCCGAACCGAGAAGGTGAACTTCCGCACATCCAGCCGTGCCTGCTGAGTGCGCAGTTTTAACGGGTGACCTCGGAGGTTGGTCGTGGTAGCAAATTCAAAAAACGTCCTCGAAGGCCAGACTGTAATCAAACCCCTTTACAATGCGGAAGGCTTGCAAGAGATCCCCGCGAAGTTGCCTGTAACTCAAAGGAAAGAGATTCAGATTTACTAGGCGGGTTGCATAAGGAAAGGAGCTTTGACCCCTAACCATCTTCGTGGCTCTCCTCTGGACTCTTTCGAGGCAGTTTTGATCCTCAACAGCCCACGGCCTCCAAGCTTGTATGCTGTACTCTAAATGCGGCCGGACGAATGTTCCAAATGTCTTAGAGAAAGCTTCTTCGTAAAAGTTCATAAACGCACGCTTCATGGCGTACAGTACTGACATTGCGCTTTTTGCAACCTTCGAACAGTGGGCGGATGGTTTTAGGGAACTCGTCGTAAGCACACCGAGGTCCCTTCGGGCTTCGACCTCTTGTAGGGCTGCACCGCCCAGAAAGTAGCCTCTTGTGCTGGCGGATCTGGCTGTGTTGCCTAGACGAAGTATGCTACATTTGGCAACGTTGAACCGCAGGAGCCAACGGTTTAACCACTCCTCCAACCGATTCAGGTTCATCTGCAGTCTGTCTTCATCGGCAGGACCCTGAATTACACTCCATATCTTCATGTCGTCCGCAAACATTGCTACTTCACAGTCTAAATTTCTTGCGGCATCGTCCACGTAGATAAGGAACAAAATGGGTCCCAGAACTGAACCCTGGGGGACACCACTATCGACCATACCCGGATCTGATTTTCCCCGACCGACGCACACAACCTGGTGTCGACCCACAAGGAAGATTTCGATCCATTTAAGGAAATTGCCACCGATCCCTATTTTTTCAGCTTATGTAAGAGTCTTTGGTGTGGCACAAAGTCGAACGCCTTCTGGAAGTCGATGAAGGCTATGCGGACCGCGTGCCTGTCGTCGAGAGCTCGGGTCCAGCTCTGGAGAGATTGCAGCAAGTTTGTCGTGCAGGATCTTCCTTTTCGGAACCCATGTTGGCGTTTCGATAGCAGGCCGTGACCTTCCAGGAATTGCATCAGTTCAGTCTTTATGATCCTTTCCATCACTTTGCAGAGAATGCATGTCAAGCTTATGGACCGGTAATTTGTCGTCGCTGCCCTGTTGCCTCCTTTGTGTAGCGGAGTAATATGCGTCAGCTTCCAATCGACAGGAAGTGTTCCAGTGTCAAATGACGTTTGAAAGAGCATCGACAAAGGCACAGAGAGCTCACGGGCAAGTTCCTTGAGAAGCTTGGATGGAATCTCGTCTGGTCCTGGCGACTTCGATTCGTTCAATGCCTCTAATTCTCTTCGGACAATGCGTTCTGAGAAGAGTATATCACTGACGCTTGGAGTCGGCAGTTCTTCTGTGGAGGGAGGAAGGAAACTTGCCTCGTTTGTATAGACTGATTGGAAAAACCGTGAAAAATACGCAGCTTTATCCCTACTATCAGCTATCTCAACGCCATCAGTAGTCTTTATCAAGGGGATTTGATGCCTGTTCCTTGTAGTTCGTCGGAGGTAGCTGTAGAGCAATTTTGGGTTCTGCGTTGCTTTTTGTAGCAAGTTCTTCTCGAATTCCCGCCGCGTCTGAATTATCAGCTTCCTCAGTTAGTTCCTCTGTGCCTTGTAGGTGTTGAGGCATTCAGCTTGTCTAGTGACACAGTATTTTCTCCACAATTTGTGCTTCCTGTTGATTTCTTTCTTGAGGTTGCTATTTAGCCACCCAGGGCGTTTGTTCAGTCATACACTAGTCAGTGGGCAGTGGTTGTTGATGAGCTGCAGAAGGACATTCTTGAACAGCTACCAGTCATCGCTGACACTTCCCGTAAGCATTGAGCCCCAGTCAAGACCGGATAAGTCTGCCCTCATCTGATTGAAGTCGCCCCTCCAAACATTACGTCTTTTGTGGTCTGGAGAATGTGAAATGGAGAATAACGAATAATCCCACATAAGCACTACGTGGTCACTTCGGCCAAGGGGCGGCATGGAGGTGATCTCGTCTATGCTGTCTGGTGTTTTCGTAAAGACCAGATCCAGGCAGTTTGCCCTTTGTCCTTCACGTGTTCTCGTTGGGAACATGACATGTTGTGTGAAGCACGCATTTAATGATTTGCTCAACAGGCGGTAATCGAATGCCGATTTTGGACCTGACGCTTGGAGGGTATTCCAGTTTGTTCCTGGTGCGTTGAAGTCGCCCATGATCATGATGTTAGGTCGACTGGAAAATTTCTCCAATTGCTCCAGTAGTTGAGTGTCGGCGATTCGGTCTGTCCTAGGTGGTCGGTAGACAGTGAGGACATCGAGACACGGGGAACCGGTAGCCTTGATGGTCAACCAGATAGCTTCCGACAGTGCCAGACCTTCATTCACATACACAACGATACAACCACCCTGACGCTGTTCCCTGTCCCTCCGATAAATTTGGTATCCAGGCAAGGCTACTTCGTTATCGCTAATATTCCCGGACAGCCAGGTCTCATTTACTGCTAAAATATCTGGAGAGAGCTCGGCAAGGCAAAGTTTTAGTTCGTCTAGTTTCGATACGAGGCTTTGGACATTCGTGTACAAGCACCTCAGTTTTGCACCAGCCGAATTTCCCGTGGCATTTGTTACTGCTGTGAGCATTACTCCGTTATCGCGGACGTCGTGTTTCTAGGCTCTTCCGTTACCTGATTGGTTCCATTTACATGCCTTGTCTCAGTCAGATCACTGGACGCTACGGGCTCACTTGTGTTGGCGCCTTGATCAGGTGGTTCGACGATGGTGTCTGTTTTAGCTGAGTAGATGTCGTCGTTCGTAGTATTACAGGCTGGTTACAATGAAACGGCATATATTTCCGAACTACCTTCCCCTTGAAGATAGTCAGATTGTGTTCGCCACCCTTCAGTCTTGATTTTAACTTCAAGACAAGTTCCCGGCGTTGAAACCGTTCCGCTGGTGAATAGTCCGGTTGAAAAAATCTGTTTGTGTGTGTTTCTGAGATCGGTTTTTTTAGAGCGGATAGATTTGATTTGCTCTTTGTTCTCCAGCATAATTTTGAGAGGGCGAGGTGGTTGTGCTGCTGTCCTGTCTTCACTCATTTTTCCTATCCGGAATGCTTTGAGAACCTTTATTTCCATGTCTGCCGGGAGTAACTGATTTAGCAGACCATGAAAAGAAGCAAGGTCCTCTGAGACACAGTCTTCGGGTCTGACTAGCATTCGATTCTGACAAACCATGAATAACCAGACACTGCTGGCGAGCATGGTCCTCCTTACTCTGTCTTTCCGGTAAATGCGCTGCATGTGGGCGATGACGATTTGCGGAGTCATCGCTTGGACGCACACTTTTGCTGTCTACCGACTGTCCCGAGCAACCCATCAGGGCTGGCTGTGACTTCAGAATCCTGTCATGGCGTCTCCCTCTCCCCTCTACCCACGGGTTTATGTCTTCGCATTCAGATACGTGCTCTGTAGTGCGCTCGGGGTGGTTGCTAGAACAAGAGGGCAACAGTAGACTGGATGACCCAGGTATATCGTCTCCAGGCAGAACAGAAATCCCATCACTTACAGCAAGAGGCTTAGGTGAGATGGCTTCCGCGACAGGTAATTTTTTGCGAAATCGCTTAAGACATCTTGCATGGGAATCGAGTCTGCCTTTATCGGCGGCTTCGTTTTCATTGTCTTGCTGTTACCGGCGTCTGCGGTTTTGGCTGTTGAGCTGCAACTCGTGCTTGAAGATTCCCCCGTGGAGATATTTTTTCGCGTTTTTTGCGTTTTGCTCCTCGTTTTTGGGATCCTAAAACTGGACACGTTCTGGCCGACAAGGGTCTGTTTCACGAGTGTCCTTAAATCAGCAAGCTCCTTTTCGAGTTGTTCTACTTTGATTTGGATATCTGCGCACCCACCACAAGGCTCGTCTTCGTACCTCACACTTTTTACGGTGCTTACGCTGTTTGCACGCTTTGCTGGTCGTTGACTGGAGGCAAAGGTAGAGCGAGCACAGGTTCTGGATGCGAAGGACAACTCACCAGACTTATCTTCCAAAGAGGTGCCGTCGCTGGCCGTACTATTACAGTTAGCTTGCTGAGAATCCATAAACTTCGACGTTATATAATAGGTATAATTTTGCTTTCGATGTTGTAACGAATACGTCGGCTTAAAGTGAGTATTAAAAACTCAATAAGCGAAAAAATACTTAAAATCCGATAAATTTTGTCGAATTTAATCAGAAGCGACTTAGCCCTTTCCAGATCTCGTGGGACTTGAATAACTGCAGACCTTGAAGGACTTTGAGCGATTGGTTTTCTAGGCTGCATATCCGTGATTCGGTTGCGTAGCAAGTTGCGTTGTCAGTTGGACCGTGCTGATAAACAAATCGTACTTAATCCAGGTTCCTGGCGAATTTCGATGCTTGAAAAAATATTCCAAAAATGCACAAAGCAATTCCGTACGTATGGTTCCAGTATCAATGTCAGAGGCGGTAACTGTGGAATGGTAACCAAGTCGAAATTGTCCCAGTTGGAGCGCAGAAAATTCCGTCGTGCTCAGTTGGACTCATTTCGAAACCAAACTGATAGCCATTTTTGTTCATCTTGACTGCATACACTCACTGGCGCCAGTATCAAAAGGTCGCTTAGCAGGAGGTCGCCAGTTATCTTTACAACATCATTTTCCATTCAAAGTTAGATCTCTGAAGCATGACACAGACGCTGAATACGGTTTACTACCAGGATCTTGGTTTTGGGCCTCAAACTGTTATTTTGTAGCAGCCAAAGGCGTTCGTGGTAGCAATGTCAAGGTAACATGAAGCACTAGATTAAACAATTGGCAAGTGCTGGTATGAAAAGAGTTGTTGAAAGAGTCATATATCTCATCAAAACTGGGAGTAGAAAATGTCAAGCAGTACGACAAGTATATCCTGTTAATCATCCTCAAAAGAAGACAAAGATGAAAAGGGACGATTGTCTGTGCCACACTGTATTGGTGGTGACGTTTCGGAAACTTTCTCAGCTCCGTCATCAAATTGGTGAGGTGTCTGTCCCCGCTAGCCTGGAGTTGTTCTGTCTCGCCGCATGTCTTTTGTTACAGGCATGCCTGACGCACGAACTCTGACCTGCATTCTTGCTGGGGATTAGCCTTGGTCTCTTCGTGGGTGACCGCTGGCGCGCTCGTGTGACTTTTGCCCCCTGCCCGGCTGTCGTAGTCGCTGAAAGGTCTGTGTGCCCGTGAGACCTCCCCTCATAACCGGATGGGCCGATCAGATGCCGTTTCATAAACAAATTACGTTCGGTTGTTTGGGCGCGTTGGTGGGTCGATGTCCCGCGTTGGTCGTGTGACCTCCGGCTGGCTCTTTCGTCCTTCTGTGAAGGTGACAACGGTTGGAGGAGCCGCGTCTCCCTCTCCCGTTTTGTCGGCCCTATCCGGAATGACAGGAACCCTGTTCGTAGCGCCTGGTAGGTCGGATGAAGATCAATAGTTCTGTTGATTGTGCCAACTGAAAACCAACTTTCGAGCACCAGTCTGGCCATATTGTCATTGGTTAGAACGAGGACGCTTGCTTCTCCAAAGGCTAAACTGTGTTTTCCTGTTGCATGTGGCCATATACCAGTGACAGTCTACCCCCGCGGTTGACTGCCAGCTCGTGCTCATGCAGTCTTGTGTAGAGGCGTTTTCCCGTTTCTCCAAAATACCTTACACTGAAATTTTGGCACCGTATGCTGTAGATCACTGCTGATTGTTCCATTGCCGGTAGCGGGTCTTCGGGTCTCATTACCTGCTGCCTGATAGTGGATTCCGGTCTATGGCCACCTCAATTCCAAAAGAGTTCAGGATTCATACTGTCACCTCGGAAAAATTCCTCAGGTAGGGGATCGTAAGCCAAAAGGTCGAATTCTCACCTTTAGATCGCTTACGAGTAGGCTTTCGTCGGCACTCACTTAGGAAAGATCGTAGGTAACTACTGGCTGTGACTGAAGAATTTAGATAATTTGCTTCCGCCTTTCTCCCGTCGTCGTCACTACGGTGTGTTTGAACTCGTAGGAAGAGAGTTCTGACAAAACTGCACTTGTGATCAATAAGGTAGTTGCTTCGGAATTAGAGGATGCGTCTAGTATTTATCGCCTTACGATATGCTGTAGTTCTTATCCTCCCACTAGCCGTCCTTGAAATATTTACGTCGAAGAGGGGCAGCTGGTTGTTGTTTTCGTCCATTGTAAAGTGGATGTCTGGGAATGCTGAGTATAATATGACTTTAAAGTGCTGAACGTCATTCCTCCCGGTTACGACAAATGTGTTGTCGACATATCTTGTTCGGAACCTTGGGGAGTACGAACAGTGAGCCATTCGTTCGAGTCGCTGCAGAACGGCCTTGACAATCAACCCGCAGAGGGGGGAGCCCATCGGTGTTCCCTTGTTCTGCTCGTAAACTCCGTCGTCAAAATTGAAGAAAGTTCTGAAGCACAATTACAGGAGTTCGACGATGTGCGACCGTTTAAGTTGTTGATTAACTTCATCATACATATTCAAAGAAGTTCCTCATTTGTGCTGATGGCGAGACGTGAATAAGGAAACCACGTCAAACGATACCCTTATCTCGTCTGGTTCTATTTCGAGACTTTCGATACTTCTCAGGAGCTCTTCAACCGACTTTACCGTCCACTCGGAGCCCAAGATGAGGAAATGAAACCGTTGGTAAGTCAATTTCCTGAGTCAAAAGGTCGGGGTAGTGCGTAGGGAGACTATGAACCGTGGGGGAACTCCTGGTTTATGCACATTTGGCGGACCGTAGTAAAGTAGAACAATAAGGGACATTATATTTAGGCGAAGTGGTGTACTTTAATATTTATCTGCCTTGCATAGTAAAACGACCTTTTTCCGCCTTCATCGCTCAATCTCGACATGTTGATATCGGGGATATATTGACAAAGTGGCCAAAGTTGATATCCAGACAATATACTTATCTAGACTTGTCGATATCGACGCAATATCTGGTCGATATCGATATGCTATAATTGATGGCGACCGCCATCTATTATAGCCGTAGGAAGTTGCAACTGAAAACAGTTTTATAATGGTATCGAGGTGTCAGGCTATGGCAAGGACCCATGCATGGTTTGGGACACGTCGTCCGGATAGAGTGTGACTGATTTGCAATGGACCTAAGAATGTAGTGTCGCATAGGTACGGATGAAGCAGGTAGAATTAGTCACTGTGACCTCTCGTCCAAGTATTAATGAAGTCCTGTCATTAGTGTAAGCTGAGAGCAACGAGAACCATCACTATGTGACTTCCACTCACAATAATTTAATCCACGTTCAAGTCCTATTTATCGGGATAGCTTCTATTACAGAGACGGACTTCCAGCAAATGAGAGGGTCCGTCTACCGTAATCTACGGAGACCATCAGAAATCTGGAAAAGCAACAGTAACCTGTACATTAGTCACTTTGTATTGAGGCAGACTTGAGTAAAATCTGCTTAACGTCCCCTTCCCACCTCTACCACGTCCAGGCGCTAAAACGATGTCAAGTCCAAAGAGGGGCGTGGGTGTAGTGGTAGAGGTGACAGGAGACCAACGGCCATAAATTTTAGACTCTGGCTCCAGATGAGCCAGTTTCATTTCTTGAGTTTACACTAAGTTACCACAAAGAGGGGGCTGTTGTTGCCCGGTCACCAGTCTGAAGGACCGAATTATTTTCTCAGCAACCTTTCGTATCCCGAAATTCATTCTCTCGCGATTATGGTGAAGAAACATGGCATAAAATCGGTGTGAATAAGTCATATGTTTGACTCCGTTCTTCTCACCATAACAGTGCCCAAATTCTTGTCTGAGAATCGAGTCGACAGATGGTACTGGACGTAGTGACTGATTTGACGGAATTCCCGTCTGACGCGTGCCAAACGTCTGCATGGTCCCCGTCTAGGTAAAGGGCAACAACATGGGGCGGTTCCGGAACCGAAACTTTGGCTTAAATAGAATACAAACAAACCGCCTAGGCATTTAAATGGATACTTGCATAGTTAGCGGCAGTAGACTCGGCAAAATTGAAACGGAAGTTCACCGCCTCGATCTAAGCAAAGGCCCTTAAATTGACTCCGTCTTTGATCGTTCAAAGGCTTCTCTCTTCAGGTTATCAATCCACAGAACAAGCTATTTGGCGCTAGTCTTAAAGCACGTTTCATCCCGAAAGACTGGAGCCAATCCCTCGCCATTGTCTACCGAAATCAAGGACCAGGTGAGCTGTAGCAGACTATCTGCAAATCAGCCGGAGTCTCGTGTAAAATGACGGAAAGCATACAACGGGGCCGTCACGTCTTTCTTGTCCAGAATGATCTGTTAAGACAGGTAGAACAACATTCTGCCAACTAGATTACGTCTTTCAAAGCTCTCGACTGCAGTGGAAATACTTAGCCAGATAATGCAACTGATGGGTCATCGTGCTCGATTTTAGGAAAGCCTTCGACTTACATCAATGGTTAATTGCTTGTTAACCAAACGTTCAGGGCCTCAGGCCTCAATCTACCCATTTTTGTTGACATGTCATATCTTGCTACTCCAGGTGCGTTCTTCTCGACGGTGTGTCATTTCACTGATTCATTTTATTGTTCAATTTTTGTGTTTGATATCATATTTTCATAGGCATCAGATTTCACCCATTTGCCAGGAGTTTACTCATGGAGTGCAAGACCAACAACACGGAGAATCCCAGTAAAAAATTTATGGTTATCATGTACGAGTGTGGATTTCCATTACTCCCAGCTTGGGGTACTTATCCAGAGATCCCAAGTCAATTGCACAAACCCATATCATACTTACTCGAACAAGGAACAGACAGCATACCTCCGTCCATAGGCGACGCGCTGTTAATTTATACGACACGACTTGGGACAGATAAGAGGGCAATTAAAATTGTGGTTCTTCTTGAAACAGTCACCCCAGGAGAGATATCGAACAAAGGCTACAAAAACTTGCCAAAGGAAGGTGGAGATAGGTTAGAAGAGTTTTCACTTGTGTGAATGGTCCTTATACAGTCCCCGCATAATTTATCAAGAGTAATCCTGTTGGGCTAAAAGACGCAGACTGCAAAATATCCGTTTCGACCAACCCCAATGAGCGAGGGCTTTGTAACAGACAGCTACCCTTAACATTTCCGGATCCCGCAACGTCGCTGAGGTGTTCAGCACAGGGGACTAAATACGTCCCTGGGTAAATGATATAGGGTTTTCTGCGCTGCTTCCCCCACTCCACATAAGCAGTTATTCGGAGATTGAACCTTCGCCTCAGATTAAGAGATTTATTCAATTTAAAAGGCATCAAGAAGGCTTATAGATAAAACAGATTTATATATCAAATTTCAAACATGTGCATGTACAAGAAGGTATGTTACGGTGCCGATAGTGAGTGATGGAGCCGTTTCACCATGGACTGCACGACTTGCTCAAGTTTGACATTTTCCGGACAGGAAACAGTCTGAAGGAACAAAACAGGGCTTTAGGTTAAGGTCGGGAACTGGTGTACACAGAGAAAGTTTTTGCCGGTTCATAAATAGCACACCTCAGAAGGGAGAAAGTAGCTATCTGTCAGAAGATCGACCTACACAAATTATGGGCACACAACCCAAAAGGGTAGCTCGAACCTGCAGCAATTGAGAAAGTGGACAATCTGAGTTAAGGCGAATGATATTTTTATATGACAAGCGAGACTGGTCCTTGTGGCGGCATTAACAGCCAGTAAAAAGCCAGAGCAAATGTTTGACGGTTAAAAAGAAACGTAGTAAAAGTTCGCCAGTCGTTGCTGACGCTGTCCACGGGGTGCCCTGCAGCATGATGAGGGCAGGAGAGGAGTGACTTGCGCGTGAACTAGTGTGAAGTGATGGAAGACTTGCGTTGCGTCTGACACACTCCCTCCTTCCTCTAGGTCTGGTGTGAAAACCAGGGGTAGCCAACGGCGTGGTGACTCATAAGGCTAAACAGCCCGTCTGCGCGTATGAAACACGACTGGCTTGCGCAAAATGGACAAGAGGTTCACAGAAACACAAATGGGGTGTCGCGGGCCCCAACTTGATGTCATAGAGCCCATATTAAGGAGGAGCTACTTCAGCCTGACTCTTCGACCTAAGAGGACCGAGTTATCTTGTCAGTTGACAGCCCTCCAAGCCATGGCTGCAAGAGAACTGTGATAGTTTAAATGTGCGTGTGGTGGGCACTCAGTTTCTAGAGTCGATCTCATTCCCCCCCCTTTCCCAGGGACCACTAATGTGTCCGAGCCGCCTGAGCGTCTCACACAACCCAGCCCCCAGACACCATGACAGGTTTTCTGACAGAGGGGATAAGCTGCTCGAACCTCACATGCGTTGGAGCACTACAGAGGCCACACGGAGAAGGGGCCAATAAAAAGCCTCCCACTTATGTGGGAGGTGCCTATTCAGTGCCTGTGGTGGGTGAAGTAAGACGGGTTCGTGTGCGGTGCATGGGCTGGTGGGGAGATGTGATGAGGTTTGGTCTGCAGTGGTTTACCGCAGGCCTGCATGAATACGCATGTGGCCAAGTAGGTTCATGTGGTGATTAGATGTGCGTGGGTAGTGCGGGCAGTTGTAGCGGGCAAGCGTCGGTGCTGCTGGCACCGGTTTGGCCGTCTCAGTGCGATGAATTCGCAAGGCCGACGTGAGAACAAGTTTGGGGGGAGTTCGCATTGGTGGCGGTGGTTGAGACGTTTTCGAAAGACGTAGGTGGAGCTAGTAAAGCACAGGACACGGTCAAGATTAAAAAAGGCCCGCGTTTGTCAAAAGGACGACACTTCCTATAAATCGACGAAATCTCCGTTTGGCAGCGAACCGCCCAGGGTAAATGGTCCGTTCAGACCAACGTGGTTTTACGCACAAAAAACAGGGCCACATAAGATGCGTCCAAGCCAGCCGCTCTCGAATAACAGTCTTTAACAACAGCTGAAAATAAAATTACCGCATTGCGCATAGCAAAGTAGATGCGTAGTGCTTTGAAAATCTTCACTAGTTACGTTATGCACAGAAAACGCCAGAAAAGCGCCGGTGGCAACAGGGCTTATTTATTGTATTCGCTTCGCTTTATGGAAGTGAAAGACGGTCGGTAAGGAGGTATATAGGGCGAACAGATGGTTTCACATGCGGGAGTGACTACTCCCGACAGGGGAGGCGCAATCTTCTCCAACTGCAGCTCCCTATCATTGTGCCCCGATTTGCCTTTCCAAGTCACCGCCCTTGGTTGCGGTTTCAATTTGAGGATTGGAGGTGGCTTTCGAACTAAAATGAATGCTGAGTCGGGCGCAGAACGCCTGATGACGAGCGAAAACTTGTGGAACACGTGTCGTGAGGCGTGTGGGTAGGCCAGAGTACCCATTGCGTCAGATTTTACCTACGGTCGCGTTTTCACGGGGATACACTGTTAGTGGGAAAAGTGCGAGACTAATCGCATGCAAACCATCACGGATTCTTTAAAGTCGTACCAGGATGGCCATCGCCGGCAGTGGCTGACTTGCCGCGACACGCACGTCTTACGCATCCTACACAATGGTAATGGCGACTGATCATGCAGGTTTTACCTTGGCACCGAGTGAGGCTTCCTTATGAGCACCCAGTAATAAAAAGTGTCCAAACAATTATGCACGATAAGTCCATATCAAGATATACAGGTGCTCTAAAGCAGTGGATTTTTACCAAGTCTTTCAGGCTGACTTTTATGCGAAAATCGTCCACCAGGAGGACAGTGTGATCAGCCGATGCCTTGACGACGTCGCCCTCAATACAGTTGGCCCCAAAGGCGTCCTGAAACATGATGGTGAGCGCGGCACAGAACTGGGGAAAGTCAGGCTCCCTGAGCGCCGGCAGGGGAGCTAAGAGGAAAGCGAAAATACAAGAACAAGAAAAAGACTGGCTTCAAGGGATAGTCAGGTTAAATGGGAGGCAAACACGGCGAAAAACTGGCAGTAGTTCTGACATTTAGAGCCCGAAAAGAAAACCATCAAGAACAACAGTCACACACGGACCACTCCTATGAATGAAATGAAAATTTTGAACAATGTTGTCCCTAAAGACAACACTTAAGTCACACTCTAAAATACTCAGTCAAATAAATCGTCTGAGAGAGTCACAAAAAAGGATCAATAGCTGAGTCGTCTGAGCAGTTGTAATCTGGATGTAGTGCCTTTCTAACCGCCTGTTAAAATTCGACAATGTCATGAAACCTCTTGGTTAGCTATACCAGTAAGTAATCGGAAATAGTGCGCACAGAAACGTTTCAAACAATGTAGTTTCAGAAGATCGGATGGTTCTTTAGCCTTACTCCAGAGTTGAAGCGAAGGGTCGAGTTAATGGTCAGTACGGTACACAAAAAGTTTAATGGCAACAAGATCGGGCAAAGAACGGTATAGAGAAGGAACCCACTTAACTGTCAGTAGACTGTGGATCGTGTCATACGTGATTTATGGCAAAGGGAGTTTTATGGGTGGGACAGCACGCTAGACAGTAAGCTGATAAAATGAAAGAAAAGACAGAAATTGCATGGATTTATGCCGAAAGTCTTATCCTACGCTATTGTACGACAAAGGAAATGGGAGTAGTAATTAAACAATAAACAAAAAGTAAATTTCACAAAAAACGGATTTCGAAATAAGGTGCGAGGCCGTGGGAAGTAATCGTAGTTGGCAGTGTATTTTCCGTAACAGCCTGCAAATGTATGCCAAGATAAAGCCCCACATTACGCGATCCACAGTCTACTGGCACGTAAGTGCGGTCCCTCGCTATACCCTTGCCCTGGGACAATTGTGAAATGCGCTGAAGCAAACGCTATCTGGGCTGATATGAATCGGAGGATGGAGTTTACTCAATCCGATCGCACTCATTAGCTAAGACATAAGAGATTGTAGACGGTAGCAGGGCGTCGGACTTCAGTCCACCTCGAAGAGAACTCGTCTTAATTTCGAACACTGCAGCCATGCTAACCAAGGCGGGGAAACCGTGTGCTTTAAAGGTTCAACCCGCAACTCACGAGGGCATTTATGTGGTACGTACTAAGAATAGTAAAAATCGATGGCCAAAGAACAAACTAAAGCGGACTAGGAATGCGCTTATTTCTAAAAGGTGCGTGATGCGGTTCGAAGTAGCCTGACGGACAATCAAGATTGCCCTTCCTTCCCTTTCCACAAAAGGCTCAGTTATGTAGGAAAAGATCGGCACTATATGCGCAATAACCTACCTCGGCTGTTGGGAGTAA